GTCAGTGTGGTGTGGATGTGAGTGTGGGTGCGTGGAACAGTGTCTTCATGTCACCAACACCCACACCCACACCCATACCCACATCCATGATGGCACAATCATGCGTGCCGTATGTTTGGAATTATGTTGTTACCAACGAAGGCAACTCTCGGAACATTGTCAAATCTCATCGAAGGACTTGGCGTACTATGTACTTCGGACTCATTTGTAAACGAGATGAGATCAAATCCATCTTTTGCTATCGAAATACTCAAAGCAAGCATCATGAATAAATCATTTTCAGAAAAGTTGGCCAGAGACAAGTGGCCACAAGAATCCTAAGACCATTAAGCAAATAAATTATCATTAAAAAAAACTATTTTTAGCTGTTTTTGCTATATTTATGCTCGAACTAATGATTGTGCAGGTTGATTAAGTTATTTTTAATAGTTTTGTGTGGGTTACTGTATTTAATGAAAATATTGGAGATTTCTTATCTTGATACAGTTAGATAGAGCATCGACTACTCTATCGAACCATATAGTTTACATTTTATTTCCTTTGATTCTAGTTCAAAAAGGGTGTGGGTGTTTGTTGAGATGAGACGTGGATGTTGTTGTGGATGCGAAAGAAGACAAAAACAACATTCACCTACACTCCACACCTCATCCACATCTACACCCTACAATCATGTTTTAAAATTTTCTTTTAGCAAGAACTATAGAAATAGAAGAGAGCCATTTCAATCACGTACGGATTGAAACACATCATTGTCAAACATTGAATTTGCTGTTTTTTTTCTTATCAAAATAAAAAGAAGACAACGGTAGGACGGCAGTTTACGAAGTGAGTCACTTTTTCAATGGTTCTGGACATTTTTCGTAACAATGCAAGCAACTACTCGCACATTTTGTATGTGAAAATGTCGTCATTCTTGTCGCACTAGTAAGATGAGGCACAATAACAGAATCCAAAGTGTAATGATTAAAAGCAGGGTGAATGTCATGTGTTACTCATCGAATCTGAAAATTCCTTTTTCATAGTTTTAGATGTATATCACCGTTTTCTGTATGTAATAAAAACAAAGTGTAAGTACAAACTTTACAATACTTATTATTGTTGAAGCTTGAAACGTACAATGAAATTTCAATGGAAAGAAGAAACACCCTTTGAGCAACGTAGGCAAGAGGCTGAAAACATGCTTAGAAAACATCCGGAACGTATTCCGATGATCATCGAACAGGCACCTGGGTCGCATCTAGCAAATATTGAAAATCGAAAGTTTTTGGTCCCACATGATATCACAGTGGGGCAATTAATGTGGGTCTTTCGGAAACGCATTCAATTGTTGCCCGAAATTGCTATGTATGTATTGGTTCCACGAACAAACGAAGGAGTGAACATATATAGAGACAATTTCAAACAGTCCATGACTATTCCGCAAATGAGTGCGACCATTGGCATGATCTATGCAGAAAAAAAGGACCAAGATGGTTTCCTATATCTGGCCTATGTTGGCGAGACCTTCACCGGTTAGTGTAGTATACTCATTTTGTTAGTGGTCACGCTCTCAATTGACTTTCTCTTTTTATCCTCTCTTCTATTGGTATCCATCCTCTCATGTTCTCTTCAATGTTTGTGTGTGGATGTGAATGCATGAACATATATAGTTATATAAGAATAAAATAAACTAGAAGCTTTTCTGGTTTTAGCGAAAACAATTCGAAAAGCCCTGTTTAACTAATCATATTCTCGGAAGCTAAAAATACAAATGAATGTAAAACTTTCCATTCCATGTCTAATGGTTAGGATGATTCTTCATACAATATCTATCTGGGATGTGGGTGTGCGGGTGCATATGTGCGTGATTATTCATGTTGACATAGCTCAACATAGTGCAAAGATGAATCTCAACTAATATGCATATGGGAGTCCAGATACACACGCTCAGCGTTATTTTTGAGGCAGTGAAAAGTTCTATTCAGTATTCTCTAGTCTTATGTTTTCCCTATTTGACGTTTTTTCTTTCACTATATACCCTTCTCGATTCTCTTTTTCGATAGTTTCCAACTAACCCAAAAGTTTATATTATTCTACTCATTTTTTAGGTGATCATGCATTGAGACAATTACTATCGGATAATGAACCATACTATAATGATGAGATTTCATTCGAAATAAATCATACCTCAGTAATTCAAGTTTTGTCAAATATAAATACTTTTTTCTTTAAGTCTAAATACAGAATTTAAATCTGGAAGGATTCATGATGAATCAAAGAAATTTTTTAACGTATCAAATGATAAAGAAAATTTTTCTTTTCAAATCTAATGATAGTACAAAAAATGCTCTACTTTTCTATATCACATAAGTATTATCGAATAAGTATAAGATGTAATTAGATTTTTATGTTTTGTTTTCGATTTTTTCATGGCAGCTTGTAATAACAGGGTGTGGACATAATTCACCCAGATTCATTGGGCAAACCCACATCTATACTCTAATGTGGAGTCGGAAAATGTCGCTTGGTTGCATGAATTTCTCACAGCTATGGACAGTGTTTGGATGATAGATTCCATTGTATTGATTACGCATTTCAAAACCCATGTTGAAAGTTCTCCACAGACGTGGACGAGTGCGAATGTGAGGAACCACGATAGCGACCCTAACATACGCGGCAGGCTGCTATTAGACTTGTACTATATAGTAGTCGTCTGTCGATCATGAACAACTTTTTCCATCTTACTGAATCCGTAAATACATCTGGTATTGGATGCACCCGTTCATGTGAGTGCAAGTAGTAGTAGCTGTGGATTTGGGTGTGAGTCCCAAGTTGATATAAACTTATACTCTCACCCACATCCACCCTCCATAAATGACACTCCATGAAAATTGCTCTCTTCCTACACTATAACCTGTATTTAGATTTTCTCCACTATCGATCGCGCTTCATTCCTCCAGAGTTTTGATAAAGTTTTTTTTCAAACAAATATTGTGAATTCAACAAAAATGTGACAGAATTGATTCAGAGTAATTTGTTCTGTTGTCTGATTCCACATTTCAACTCACATGATCTTTCAAATGGTGTGATTATATGCTATAAACAACATCGTGTACAACATGAAATAACTTTCATTTAAATCTACAATTCTCAATTGAATAGCGTTGTTGCAAGTCAATCGCATGTCTCATGGAGTAACTTTAAGTATGAATCAAATAGGTACATAGACAGTTGAGCCTCCCACAGTTGAGCCTACACATTTGAGCCCTGGACATTTGAGCCCTGGACATTTGAACCTCCTATAAGTAAGTCTTGTCAGGTAACTAAACCTTCCATGTGAGCTTATTTAAAACCTTCGAAATGAGCACTGTTGAACTGATTGTAGACTGGGTGTTGGGCATGGATGTGAATGTGGGTGCCATTATGGGTGTCTGCCGGTGCCGGTATGGGTGTGGATGTTATTCTTTCTTTCACCTACCCATCCACACACCTACACCCCATACCCACACACATACCCACCCGATCCACACCCAAATTCTACAGTTTGTTAATTCTTCGACTTAAAATGTGAGGAGGCTCAAATGTGTAGACTCAAATCTGTAGGTTCATCTGTCGAAGCTTAAATATCGGAGGCTCAATTGTCGTGTCACCAATCAAATAATAGAAAATCATGGTTAGAATGGTGTGGGTGGGTGCGGGTGTGGGGTATGGCTGTGGGTGAGTGCGGGTGTGGGTGTAGGTGTGGGTGTGAGTGTAGGTGTGAGTGGGGTATAGGTGGGTGTGGGGGTAGCTCTTCTTTTTGCCCACGCACACCCACATCCACACCCACACCCACACCAACACCAACACCCACACACATTCACACGCACACCCACCCACACCCATACCCCATACCCACACCCACACCCTTTCTAGGGAAAGCAATAAATCATTAAACTGATAACAATAATAAGTTTTTTATTTCAGAATTCACATATAATCAATGTATTTATGTTCAAAATACTTTTTTCTTTCTTTGTTTTTCGATACAAATTCGTTTGCAATAGTATCTAAATCAATGTCAAAACTACGTTCAATATTTATTAAAGATAAACTGGATAGTCTTTCTTGTCCTGTTGTATTACGAATGTATGTTTCAAGTCTGCTTAAGGATGAAAAGCTGCTTTCGCATTCGCAAACATTCACTAGAATAGTCCACAATATTTTCAGTATATCATTCATCGTAGTTAGTGATAAATGAAAATTATTTTCCAGAAAAAATTGTGTTGCCAATGTTAATGTTAATTGATTTTTTTCACCTAGTGCTACTTGATACATACGTTGTTCAGTCCGTAAATCATCATAATTCATATTGTAAAAATAAAAAATTTGTTTTAATTGATAATCATTAAAAAAAAATTTTGTTAAAAATAATTTTTCACATAAAACGATTACATTTATACTATTTTCATTAAATCTTTCTTTAATTGATAATATAATTGCATCTAATACAGCATAAAATGAATTAACAAGATAACTATCTTTAACACATAATGTGGTCGCTACAACATCACCACCACCTAAACGTTCAGGTATTTTTCTTCTTCGACGTTCACTAGGTTCATCACTATCATTTATTACACAAATATTCAAAGTTTCATTCCAAATTCTGTTAAATTCATTTTCATTTCTTAACGACTCAAGTGAATCAATGGTAATTTTTACTTGAACCGAAGCTTGTGTCAGAGGCAAATCAGATTTTTGTAAAACTTTTGATAATATGTTTGTAATAAGAAAACTTTCGCTCATTAAATGAATATGAAAAATAAAATAAAATGTTTGTACAACTTTCAACATAATAAATGCATCAGCAACCTCCATTTCTTGTAAATCAGCTATTATTTCAGAATATTGTTTTAAAATAACTTTTAAAGATTCAAAACGACATGTCCAACGTGTGTTGCCTAATTTCTTTAATGGTATCGGTACCAAACAAACTTCTTTTTGAATATCTTCAAAATCTTTATGACGTTTAGCTGATCCTTCGATTAAATTGTAAAGTGATTTCATAACACCAAAATTATTTCTAATAGGCACCACGGCTTCCCAGGTCAAAATCAGGCCATCGGGTTCTGTCGGATCTGTCTCAGTCTGCTGAATTCCGATGACTGAATCCGATCGAATTCCGATTGTCGGAATCCAATCGGATCTCAACTGATTCCTATA